AATTGTTATAAATACATATTATTAACAACAGTTATGAGATTATATAATTGTGAATGTATATATGAGAAATAAAATTTATTTTAAAAAAAATCATTAAATTTACAATTTAAAAAAAGAAAAAAAAGAAAACCCTTTTTCTTCCAAATATTTGATGGTGTCCAGAGGATAACTAATATCAAATGAAATCAGGAAAGGGTTCCTGCCCTCCAAAGTTGTACCTCAGTGGAACAGAAGCAACAAGAAGCCAGAGAAACACATACCGTATTTTTCGGACTATAAGACGCATCAAGATTTTGAAGGGGTAAATTTTTTTAAAAAAGTTTTTGCACTCTGCTGGCCTTCTGAACCCTCTGCACGCCTCTTTTTTGCAAAAAAAAAGGCATGCAGAGGCTTTGGGAGTTTGTAGAGTGCTCCTGGGGACTGGGGGTGGGGGGCAAAAACAATCAGAAAACAGCCCAATTTTTGCTTGTTTTTGCCCTCCCCAGCCCTCAGGAGCATTTTGCAAGCCTCCCTAACCCTCTACACATCCATTTTTGCAAAGGGGCAGGGTTTCGGTAGGCCAAAAATGCTGTATTAAGTATATAAGAGGCACACAGGTTTTCACCTTCTTTTGGGGGGGTGGAAAGGGTGCGTCTTATACTCCGAAAAATACGGTACATCAATATGTGCTGTTCAACTGCCCTTGAAGACCAACTAGAAGCTTCAACTGGTCCAGATTACAGAAGCAAAAATGATGCTTCAGCATGTCTGTTGGATGCCTCTGCTTCAGGAACTGTACTGGTGCCCATTATTGTTCTAGGTTCGATTCAAGGTGCTGCTGATTGCCTATAAAACCTACATAGCAGGCCCCCTAGGTTATTTGAGGGCCCACCTATCTTCCATGCTTTCTCCCCACCCAGCATGAGCCAACAGAGTCAGTGTGCTCCAGGTCCTTCCAGTGAAACAATGCCATATATGACGATCAGAGAGATTTCTCTGGAATGAGATTCCTTCTGAAATCCATAGGGCTCCCATCTTGAAGAAGGCATCTCAGGCCTTGGGATAGGGTAGATGAAACTCTCCGTAGGATGGAGTTGTTTTTTTTTTTAAAGAAATGAACTGTATTGAGTGGTTCGGTATTATATTATCTATATATTTTGAATATTGTTTTTATTTTGCTTGTTAGATTATGAACGGACTGAAATCCAACGAGTAAAGCAGCTGCAAATAAAGCTGGTTTAAAACAATTTTTTTTGCAGAGTTAGACCACTTCCTCCATTTGGCCAGGATGGTGGTCAATGGCCTGTCCTGACATTACTTAGATGTCATAAAATATATCAGAGATGAAGGCTTAGGGCGGTGGTGTTTAAACTTTCTGGCACCAAGTGCCGAAACTGGAGTTCATGCGTCAGAACCTAGAAGAGAGCAGCTGGCCGGTACGTGTACACCTGGCGGTCAGAAGCACCTCTGGGTTCTATCGTGTACATGTGCACTGGACAGCTGTTTAAATGTGCATGTGCCCAGGATCAGCTGCTCTCTTTCAGGTTCTGGCATGCACATGCGTGCCGGCGAGCTGGTCTTCATGGAAAGAGCAGCTGGCGACAGCGAATGTGCCCACAGACAGGGCTCTGCATGCCACCTCTGGCACACCTGCCATAGGGGGTCTTCTAATCCAGCACTCCTGCTCAAGCAGGGGACCATAGACAAACATTTCAGATAGGTGGCTGTGATCAAAATTTGGATACTTGGCAGCTGGCTCATGTTTATGGTGGTTGCAATGTTGTAGGGCCATGATGGCGAACCTATGGCACGCCTGCCACACGTGGCACATGGAGCCATTTCTGAGGGCACGTGAGGCGTTGCCCTGTCAGCTCCAGCGCGCATGCACATGCTGAGAAGGTGATTTTCGGCCTTGATTTTCAGCCATTTTTCTCCCTCCGGAGGCTTCCTGAAGCCTCCGGAGGGAGAAAAGCAGCCCACCAGGCAACACGGAAATCTGTTCCCGAACTTCCAGTTTGTGTGTTGGGCTGTTTTCCCCCCTCCAGAGGTTTCAGGAGGCTTCCCTGAAGCCTGGGTAGGGCGAAAAATGACCCAAAGGGACCCATCGGGAACGAACTTCTGGGTTGGCCATTGGGCTGTTTTTCCCCCTCCAGAGGCTTCAGGAGGCTTTCCTAAATTTTGCGGAGGGAAAAAAACACACAACCTAACGTGCCTTCTGGAAGTCCGGAGGCTTCAGTGAGGCCTGCGCGCATTCGGGTGTTGTTGTTGTTGTGCGTGCATGCACCGGGGGAGCGCATTGCATTATGGGTGTGGGTGGGTGTGACCCCCCCACGTTCCCCACGCTTTTGGCACCCCTTGACAAAAAGGTTAACCATCACTGTTCCAGGGACCTTCTGACAAGCAAAATCAATGGGGAAGCCAGATTCACTCAATAACCAGGTTACTAACTTATCAACTGCAGTGATTCACTTAACAACTGAGGCCAGAAATCCTGTAAAAAGGGGCAAAGGTCACTGAACAGAAATGTTGGGCTCAATTGTGGTCATAAGTCAAGGACTACCCGTACTGCTTCAGAGTCTTAAAGAAACAACAGAACAGGAACATGTTCTGGTCAACAGCTGTAATATCTTCTCAGTTTATAAGGGCCTGATGCGATCAATAAAACTTCTACCTGTGAATTATCTATGATTCTCCAAATAGATGGCACACTTTGGTTTATGTCCCGGCACTTGGGGAAATATATTCATTTGGCTATGGAGCAGAAGGGCAACATGGAGAAGGAAGAACAAGTGACCAGCTGGTTCCTCTTCCTCTCAGTCTGGCTATTCATGATAAACACATGAAGAACAGTAAGTCACACCATTTTTCAAGCTGAACGTTATACGCAAAGGACGAGCTAAATCCCAAAGCCTAAAATAAAGTTTCAGATTACAATCAACAACGGATGCATATGGAGGGAGAGATGTGAGTCGTAGGGCAAAATGTGACGCAGACACACACAAAAAGGCCACGTCAAAGAAAAAAAGATTGAGATGGGATATTGGCTTGTGATTACAATTATGTTGCCTTACTAGACAATCCAGCTTTGGCAGTATAGGTGTTCTGAAATAAGTTTCAGATTCTAATTCCGTGTGCCGAGATGGTTCTTGACATGCAGTGATTGATCCTGATGAGATAGTGAGAAGTTTCTTTTTGTGAAGTAGCTTGCACTCTAAGTAGCATTAGCCAAAGTTCTACTAATCCAGGGATGTCAAACTTGAAGTGTCATGTGATGTATTGGGACTCCCCCCCTTTCACTAAACCAGGGTGGGTGTGGCCAGCACGCGACGTATCCAGCCCATGGACCACGAGTTTGACACCCCTGTACCAGTAATGGTATTCTCTTTTCTTCACTACCGGTTCGGTAGTGGGAGTGTGCACGAAGGTTCTGTGCATGTGTAGAAGGTCCGTGATGACCTCTGGGTGAGTGGGCGGAGTCTCATACCGCTGCCACTATCGGTTCGCCCAAACCAGTTCGAACCAGCAGAATACCATCTCTGCCTTGTACTAACCAGATTCTGCATAGAAATCTTTCTTAATCTTAAGGGAAGAGTCACTCTTTTTTCTGTCTCTTACTAAAGGAAGTACCTTGGACAAGGTAGTTAAAATCATTGCCGGAGACAACCAAAGTATTGTGCTTCGCCTGGAGGAAAAGGTAACCAAATGGGGAACTTGCCAAAAAACATGTATAATTTCTAATACAAAATGCCAACATTTACTTGAACCCTGTAGTGGGGAAGGAATGGAGATTTTACAGTATCCTTCCCCTGTCACGCCCACCAAGCCACGCCCACCAAGCCATGCCACGCCCACATAACTGGTAGTAAAAAGTTTTGAATCCCACCACGGCTCTTCATGGATTTTTCATGAAATAATTTCAATATTTTTATAATGCTGTTCGTTGCATTAGAGACCTTTATCTACAGCTTTTCCTGATCTGTGGTTTAAACATTGTACAAGATACCTGAAAATAATTTTTACCTTTTTTCCCCCCAGAATGCATACACTGTAATGCAAACACTGGCCACAGTGGAGGAGGAGAAGGTTGCTAAGTGGTTGTCCAATTCAGATCGCAGCTGCTGGAATAATATCAAATGGTAAATGCCATATGGATAATCTGATTTCTGCAGTTCTTTGAAACAAATAGATCAGTAGTCCTCACTTATCCACAGTAATTGAGATTGGGAACTTCATTGCTACTGCAATGCGCTCTACATGGGGCAGCCCTTGAAGAGTATTCGGAGACTTCAACTCGTCCAGAATGCA